ATCTTATAATAAAAAGGTGGAAACCCTAAACAGAAACCTAGGGTTTAAAACTATATTGATTTATCCATTGTTGATTGAAAGTCACTGATAAACTGCCTGATTAGGAGTAAAATTATATCATCTTATATGAAAATTGTTTTAATTTACTGAACTTAAGAAATTAGCTGATATTTACTTCTGACAATATCACTAATGTATTAATGTTTTTAAGTCTAACATCTTTAATACAGAGCATGCTTAGAAGCAGTTACAAAAAGTAGTATTTCAGTGTTTTTTAACTGATCATTAAATTATTATTGCTATTATAATTATTCTACCTCTTAAAATAACTGCACACTAAGCAAGAATGAAAAAATATATTTAAGGTGTAATGAAATGACAAAGTACTTAAGTATACAGAATATAAGTCATAGGTAAGCATTAAAATGCATAATTTTTTTGTTGATACTTTAATTTGAGATGTAATTGATAAACTATAGATGTTTATAGTGTATAATTTGATAAGTTTTGATATATATATATCTGTAAAATCATTACCACAATCAAGATATTGAACATATATATTACCCGAGAATTTCCCCATATCTATTTCTAATCCCTCCCTTCTAGCCTGACCTGTCCCCTTCCCCAGGCAACCACTGATCTGCCTTCTATCACTGTAGATTAGTTTGCATTTTATAGAAATAGAATCGTACACTATGTACTTTTATCTGGCTGCTTCACTCCCCATAATTAGAGGTTTCTCCATACTGTTGTATGATCAGTAGTTAATTCCTTTTCATTACTGAGTAGCATTCCATTATTTCACAGTTTATCTTTTCACTTGTTTATGAACATTTGGTTTACTTCCATTTTTCAGCTATAACAAATAAAGCTACTATGAGTACTCGTGTGCGAGTCTTTTATGGAAGCACGTTTTATTTTCTCTTGGGTAAATATGAACAAGTGTAATGGCTGGATCATATGATAGATGTACGTTTAACTTTTAGGGAATTGCCATTCTGTTTTCCAAAGTGAATGTGCCATTTTACATTCCCACCCACAGTGTATGAGAGGTCCTGTTGTGCCATATCCTTGGTAACATTTGGTATTTTTTTAAATTTTAGCCATTTTCATGTGTGTATACTGGTATCTCATTGTGGGTTTAAATTTTATTTCCTGAATGACTAATGAGAAGATGAGCACTTTTTTATGTGCTTATTAGCCATTTGTATACTTTCTTTTGTGAAGTGTCTTTTCAAATCTTTTACTCATTTTTAAAAATTGGGTTGTTTGTCTTTTAATTATTGCATTGTAGAAGTTCTTTATATATCCTGGATACCAGTCCTTTGTCAAATATGTTTTGCAAACATTTTCTTTCAGTGTGTGGTTTGCATCTTAATTTTCATAATGTATTAAGATGAGCAGATGTTTTCAGTTTTAATGAAGTCTTATGTATTTCTTTTCTCTTTTATGGTCATTGCTTTCTCTGACTTATCTAAGAAACTTTTGCCTACCATTAAGTCACAAAGGTATTCTACTTTGTTTTCCTCTAAAAGCTTAATAGTTTAGATCTCTCCTCTATCTTGAATTAATTTTTGTGTACGGTATGAGATAGGGGTGAAGCTCACTTTTTTCCCATATGCTTTTCCAGATATTTCACCATCATCTGTTGAAAAGACTTTTCTTTCTCCATTAAATTGTTTTTTTTTAATTATTTTATATATATTTTTTTATTGTACTTTAGATGAAGGTTTACAGAACAAATAGTTTCTCATTAAACAGTCAGTACGCATATTGTTTTATGACATTGGTTAACAACCCCACGACATGTCAACACTCTCCCTTCTTGACCTTGGAGGACCCTTTTTTTTCTTTTTTGGTGAAAATATACGTAGCCAAAGTTAGACCATTTCAAAAATTCTCTTTCTCCATTAAATTGGCTTGACTTCTTTACTGAAAGTCAGATAATTGTATACATGTTGGTCTGTTTCTGGACTTTTATTCTGTTCCATTCATTGATCTGTCAACTTTTATGCCAGCACCACAATGACTTGATTACTACTGTAGCATTACAGAAAACCTCCCGGTCAGATAGGCTAAGTTCTCCAATTAGTTCTCCCTTTTACAAGATTGATTTGCATAGTCTAGATTCTTTCCATTTCCATAGAATTTCTAGAGTAAGCTTTTCAATTTCTACCCCCCAAAAAATGCTTTCTGGGATTATAAATGGGATTGTGTTGAATCTGTAGATAAATTTGGGGATAATTGACATCTCAACAATATTGAGTGTTATGATTTATGAACATAGCCTATCTCTTCTGTAATATCTTTTAGCAGTGTTTTGTAATGTGCAGTGTAGAGTTCTTATGTGTCTTTTGTTAAGTTTATTCATAAATATTTTATATCTTTTGATGCTATTGTAAATGGAATTGTTTTTGAAATGTAATTTTTAAAAAATATTTATTGGATTTTTTTTAATTGTGATTTAGGTCTCAGCTTACAGAGCAAATTAGTTTCTTATTAAACAGTTAGTACACAAATTGTTTTTTGACATTGGTTGCCTACCCCACAATGTGTCAACACTCGTCCCTTCTTCACCCCAGGTTCCCTGATGCCATTCATACAGTTTTCCTGACCCTTCCTGCCTTTTCATCTTTGCTTTTGGTCTGGTGTGCCCATTAGTCTTGTATACGTGGTTGAACTATAATCTCAGTGTGTATTCTTGTTGGCCCTATAGACCTGTCTAATCTTTGACTGAAGGGTGAACCTCAGGAGTGACTTCAGTACTGAGTTAAAAGGGTGTCCAGGAGCCATACTCTCAGAGCTTCTCCAGTCTCTGTCAGACCAGCAAGCCTGGTCTTTTTTGTGTGTGAATTTGAAATTTTGTCCTACATTTCTCTCCCGCTCTGTCTGGAATCCTCTCTTGTGATCCCTGCCAGAGCAGTCGGTGGTGGTAACCAGGCACCATCTGTGGTTGTTCTGGGCTCAGTCTGGTGGAGGTTGTGGTCCATTAGTCCTTTGGACTAATTTTTCCCTTGTGTCTTTGATCTTCTCCATTCTTCTTTACTCCAGCTGGGATGGGACCAGTAGATATACCTTAAATTGAAATGTAATTTTTTAATTGTTTGCTGCTAGTTTATGAACAGTTGGTTTTTATATATAAACCTTGTATACTGCAACCTCGCTGAATGATTTTGATAAATCTTAATGCCTACATCACCCTGGTTGAAAGTTAATTCTGCATATTTTTTCTTTTAAATGAAGATAAGAGTTTTATTTTTATTTTTATTTTTTGAATTTTTATCTCCTTAATTAGTTTTACATAGGTCCAGGCAGTGCTTTTCAAATGGCATGTCATGTCATAACCATTAATGAGTTGTGAATCAATTTAGTGGTACCAACTAGCATTTTTTAAAGTAAAATAAAAGAGTAAGTATAGGAGAGTATTATACATAGCAAGTGTAAATAGTGTTTCAAGAAATGTGTTTTAATTATGTTTGTACATATGTATGGGATAATCATGTCAACACAAATATCAGTAGTAGGAGGCTTTAAAGAACAAATTTATCTTTTTACAGTTCAGGCTAGATGCCTGAATTCAAGGCATAGCTCTAGCGGGAAGCCCTTTTTTGTCTATTTCAGTTTCTGCTATTGTTTTTTATTGGATACAGTCGAATTGATTCCAGCTAATAGCACCCCTATAGAACAGAGTAGAACTGCCCCATAGAGTTTCAAGACTGTAATGTTCATGGTAGCAGATCACCGGGTCTTTTCTCCTGAGAAGCAACTGGTGTGTTCAAACTGCTGACCTTTTTAGTTTCTAGGAGCCTTCAGTCTTGGAGTTGCTGGGCTTGTAGATGCATCTGCTTTGTGTGTCTGCCTTCATATGGCATCTGCCCCGCTCTGTGTCTCTGTGTCTATTATGGTCTTTTTTAATAACTCAGAAGTGAGTAGGTTTAGGATCCACTCTATATTGGTATGGTTCCATTAACATAACAAAAGAAAGCCTTCTGTTTCCAGTGTCATGTTTATAGGTACAGAGGTTAGGATTCAGCACGTTTTTGAGGGACACAATTCAGTCTATGACACGTTATATATACTGTTTCCTATGGTTCATTGTGAAAAAAATGTTTGAAAAACACAGCTTTATAGAATAGTTTCAGGTTTATGTTCTTGTGCAAATCTTCAGTTGTCTCTTTAAAGACTTATTACATAAAGGGGATCCACCCCTGAATGGCCTATTCTTTATTTAAAGAGAATATTATAGCAACATATTTATGAGGCCAAGTTTTTTTTTTTTAGTTTTCTTAATGGAAAATACAAGAGTAGAAAGAGAAGTATGATAAACCCATATGTGTCCATCATTTAGCTTCAATAATTATCAATATTTTATCAATCTTGCTTTACTCAGCTCCCGACATTTTGGGGGAGAGTTTTAGAAAGGAGATAACGATTCATTTTATATTTAGTTTAAAGTTTTAACGAAGGGATATGAGTGTGTGTGCACATGTGTTGATCAATAACTTCCTTCTGTTGAACTAGTGGGGAAGAAAAAAATCCATTGCTGTCAAGTCAGTTCTGACTCAGCGAGCCTATAGGACAGAGCAGAACTGCCGCATAGGGTTTCCAAGGAGCGCCTGCTGGATTCAAACTGCTCACCTTTTGGTTAGCCGATCTCTTAACCACTGCGCGACCAGTGCTCCACTCAACTAGTGAAGAAAGTAGTAAAGTGAGCTATTGGCCAGTGGCTTTATCTGTGCCTGTTTATCTGTTGAATAAATAGGAATAGTAATCTATATATTGTGGTTGTGAATGCAGAATGACTATTTCTTAGGAAGTTAATTCTGGTGAGAATGGTCAAGTCTTGGAAACACGGATTTCCAAGATAACAGAGCTTGAATAATGTATCATAGAAGCAACTGATTTACATCCCTACCATCTGTCAGGTTACCCTTACTTTTTAAGAGAGATGATCATCTATCCTAATTTTAAATAACACCAGGGACCTATCCAAAAAATCTTTCTTGACTGCCTTTCCCTTTATTTACTTAGCTATATACTCAAGGTCCTGTTGTTAACAAAATACATGTGTTCTTGTACACATCTACAGCATTTTGTATTGGGGTTGTACTTTTAATGGCCTGAAAAAAAGAAATTATATGAATTCAATATGTTGGTATTACTAGTAATGTCATTACAATTTTTCTACAAAACTTGTTTTTTAGAATAAGTATTTTAATTTGGCTGATAAAGCATTTCAAATAGATTCTATAAAAACTTTTAGCGTGTAGTAGCTGCTTTATAAGTATTTGTTGAAAAAAGTATGCATTTCATATATATGCCTATTCTTTGTGGCTGCCTTTTGGAAGATGGCCTTTTGATAATGTCTTTTAAGATTCTTGTTAAAAGTAAATAAACCTTCTTATATGATAGCCTAAATAAACCTTCTTATATGATAGCCAAGGTCAAACTCACCTGTATCAAATGTCAATTTTACTGTAATTTGTCCTTCACTTTGGGAAGTGTTACTATTCATGTATATAAATAATACCATTGTATGATCAGTAGTCCCTTTATAAATAGCATTTAGATAAATTTCATCTGTGGGTCCTACATGAGATTTTGTATGTATATTCCTTGCATTGCCTCTTTTAATATCATATGATCCTGAATATTTTTTAGGTCCTTCTAACTGCTCCTTTTCACCTAAAATTGAGCTTCATGCCATTTTTGCATGTGTTGTACAGTAGAACACATTTCTCTATGTAGCTCCTCTTTGATTTGAATATTTCTAGTAAAACTAATCCAGACAGAGGATACTGGTAGAATAAAACTCCTATGAGAAATCTTTTCAAGTTCTTCTTATATATTATTTATGCTGACATTGCAATCTTTTTAATCTGAGACCTCTCCTAAAATGCATTCATTCACAAATGTTTAATGATCACCTTCAGTGACAAAGCCACGTTGCTAGGTTCTTAGGAACATAAAAAATGAATCTTGCTCTAAGATACTTTTAGTGTGGATGTAAGAGACATTTAAAACTGTAATACAATGTAAAAAGCAATGAAATGAGGTTAGTAAACTCGGCAGATATGTTCATTCTCCAAGAGCTTTGTTATTCAGCTGTCTAGCAGAGAACCACTACTTCTAATTTTCCCAAATTTGGGAGAAATTGTTGTAATGACAAAGCAATAGGAAGATAAGACCTGAGTGGGGAAGAGCTGGATTGTGGTCCCAATGCCGATAGTTGGTACTCAGTAAATGTTTGAAGAGTCAATGAATAAATAAAGAGATAAGGGACAAAGGTACTGTCACATCTGAACATTCTCCTTCAATGGGAATACAAGCAAGTTTTGAAGCGGCATCATGTAATAATAGGTAATTTTTCATTGGTATGTGCAGTATTCTAAAGCGTTTTTATAAACATACTTACTACGAGATAGCAAAATATAGCCAAATTAAATTAAAACTTAATTCACCTTCATGAACAGTCTGTGATTTATTTATTTTTTTATTTTTCCTCTCCCTTAGTGTATTCTTCAAGATTCGATTTTATTGTAAGGGGCTCATTTTTTTGATTAGCTTTTATTGAATACTTATTATATCGTAAATTTAGAAGGTTATAGTAGGAGCTTGGCCTACTTACAAGGACAGACATACATGAAGATTAGTATCAGTATAATGTTCTGATAGGTACTAAAACCAAGGTGCTGTACAGAGTTTAATGGGCCACAAAGGAGAGAGTTTAACTTCGCAGGCTGAGAGCTGGTGGGCTCTGGGCTAAGGATGATCTTTTTTTCCATTTGCCTTTGAGTTGATTCCAACTCTTAGCAACCCCTTATGCGTCAGAGTAGAACTGTGCTTCATAGGATTTTCAGTGGTTGATTTTTCAGAAGTAGATCACCAGGTGTTTCTTCCAAGGTGCCTATGGGTGACCTCGAACCTCCAACCTTTCAGTTAGCAGCTGAGCACTTACACTACATCAGAAACTCCAAGGATGATATAGGTATACAGTATCATAGTTTTGTTTGTTTAGATTAAAAAGCATAATGAAAAATTCTTTTGTATTGTTTTAAAGTTACCCTAAAGCTACCATTAGTTGCATGAATTAGGTAAGGAAAGGAGGGACCACAAGAGAAGGAATCCATTTTGATAGTTTGGGGGAACCAAGCTCAAATATATATAGTTCTAACATCCCTATTTTTATAAGGCTACATACTAGAGAGTGAGTTTAGATCTTTTAAGTTAGCATTTTAAAATTATTGCTATAGAATAAGAAAAAGTAAATGCTCCCTATTTTCAGTAAAATGTTCCTCGTGAAGGTTGATATTCAGACACAGGAGATATTTAAACAATACATTTACTATGTTGCAGTCATAAATGTGATGGATAGCTTTAAAAATGAAAATTTTGTTTCATTTTTTATGTGATGTATGAGTACTATGATGAAACAAAGTGATAAAAAAAATTCACTGGCTATTTTAAGTTAAAAATATAGTTAAGAGTAAATTTAATTTAAAATGAACCGCTTTATTATTGTATAGTTTGCTGTTTCTTTGTTGGATTATTCTTTTTTTTAAATGTGGTAGTATAAAGAACATGATTTATTTCTTAATTTGTCCAGGAAGAATATCTTTATAAGACAATTCTCATTTAAAAAGTGGTAAGTAACTTTAAGTCTAGGTCAGGTCAGTACAGTACTTTCTTCAAAAGTCATTGTACCGTAGACTATATATTTCTGCTATGATATGACAAAAAATTAATGGTGGTCTATTTTTAGTGTCCAGATGAAATTTATATGAAGTTTCTTTGCCTCAGGTTTTTTTTCTTTAATGCTATCAAATGAGTTATGTGAACTATGAATATATCAGTATTGTTTATTCTTGGGTAATGGGTTTCTCTGTGATTATTTGAAATCTAGTATGTTTATCTATACTAATAGATTCTTTTATAGTTAACAAACTGCTATTTCACTATTAATGGTGGTTTTACATGTTATGGAAATGAACTTCCTTATCATTTTACTTAATTTGATCACATTGAAAATCTTAACTATTTTTTAAAACTTTTTGCCACAGCGTTTTACCAACGAGGATCATTTGGCTGTCCATAAACATAAACATGAGATGACACTGAAATTTGGTCCAGCACGTAATGACAGTGTCATTGTGGCTGGTTAGTATATGCTTTTATTAATAGCTTATATACATATTTCACCTGGATTGTGCACAATTTTTGTGTATTCTCTGTAAATATTATAGTCTGGTGATATTCCAATGACTTCATTTGCAGTAATTGTTGGCAACATGTATTTTACCCATTACATTTCCATGTTTCAAACCCTTCTGACCATTCATTTCACCTTTTTGTGTGATTTTCAAATACAGATTTCAATGTCAATTTTGTGAAAGTTAATTAGAACCTTGGGAACTTCCATACCATCTCCAAAGTTTACATTTAACTGATAATTGAGCTAATTTGGTATTTAGTCCATGTTTCTTTTAGCTGTCTTGTACCTGGTTTATAATGCTGTGTGAAGATAGAAAATGATCCAGCTCCTCCTACTGGGGAAAGAGCAATTAGCAGACGTGTTCTTTAGGATTTGTTAATATTTCTTTACAGATGAAACATTTGTGTTAGTAAAATACTCTCAGTAAAGGGGGCCTGTATTTAGTCATTGCTTTTTTTGTATGTTGACCCTTTGAATATATACTGTCACCTAAACAGATGATTATATTTCACAATAGATGAAAATTCATGCATTGGTTTATTGTCTTTCCATGCTGTATTAGCTGCTCTTTAAGTATATATACATACACATCTACGTATTTGTACACACACATACTATGTTTAATTTCACTGCATTTATATGTTTTATAGGTAAGTGTTATGGTAAGAAAACCGAACCCTTTGGTGTCAAAGCCACAGATTCATAAATCATAAATCACAAATTAATACTAGATTCTTCTTTCTTTTTTTAAAGCCTAGATTATACTATTTTTAAGTCTGAAATTATACCTGAATACTATTAATACTTTTAAATTATTATGTGAGAGAGAGATGAAATTGTCATATGCAATGCTTTGGAGAGATGAGAAGGCAAATATTACGTGGTTCTTCCTGTATTTTCAGTATCGAAACTTTTGTAATGAAAAAAATTGGAGGAAACAATAAAGTTAATAATTTATCAAAAATAATTTATGTAGGAAAAATATAAGAGAACTTTAATAAACACACTTTCAGTTCTGTACGTAAAAGGAAGCTAGAGAAGAAGAGCAGGGTACATGCATTTCTTTAGAATATTGTACGTCAGATATTCAGAGCTAGAATCAAAAAAAAAAAAAAAAAAAAGCAGACAAATTAGCAATAGAGCAACCTAAAAAGTTCACTCTCCTAGACAATGAAGGTCTTTGCTTCTCTGAAACTTACTGCCTTAGAGCCTTTTCTTCCTGTCTGTAACTTTTAACTCAAGAAATGTTTTGAGATTGGTTTCTAAAAATTGTTTTCCTATCTGGTTACATTTAATACAATAAAAAAATAGAACACATTCAAACACAGCACCTGACCATATGTTTTACTTATATATATTGAGATGAATAGTGTAGAATTACTGTATAAGTATAATGCATGATGTGTGTGGTATATATTTTATGATTAATAGCCGTAAGCAATTTGCATGTTAAATGATCGTGCCTGTGTTGACTCTTCTCAAGCCTGATGGTTCCAGTAATCACTGATATAAGTGATTATGCTTATTTTTATTTTTAAGACTTTTTCCTCTTTTTATTCACAAGAGCCTTCTAATGACCTGTGATGTACAGACCCTTTGGGTATGAACAGAGGAGTCAAATTATATTCAGTTTACTAATTCAGTTGTGATGGACTTAAGTTGATACATGTACACTGGGCCCTTGCTGTGATATGATTTTGGAAATTTTTTTGGGTAATGTGGGTATATTATAGGCTAACAGGTAAAATGATGACAGAATGGAGTCTTTTCAGTAATCCTGATAATACTAATAATATCTGAGTCAGACCTGCATTGTATCTAATGTGTGTGACAAATGGGTCATTTTAGTGTTAAATATATATATTAAATTTATTAGTACTCTAGGTGTGTGTGTGTGGAGAGGGCAAAGATAAAATAAGTAATGCCTACTATGGGGACACAATAATTAACAACTATATAAATTTTAATTTCACAAATTTTAATACTCAAGACTTCATGAGTATTTTATCTTAAACCAGGAGTCATCCCTCTAGAGTGCTTTATTTAGGTTAGGCTCAACCCTTGATATAGCCTGTAAAAGTGATGCCCTAAAATGTATTTTAAAATGTGACTAGAATTTGAATCTGCTACCAACTTTGATCAATAAGAATAAATAGCCATAAGCCAGTAAGACTTAAATGCACAAAATTAATAAATCTACTGTTTTTCATTCAATATGGGCATAATTGGCATTTGACCTAGAGCCAGTGCACATGCACATATGCACACAGTGCATGTATTGATGCACATAGCATGAGTAGATATTCAGGTATAGTTGAATTGTTTCAAGTTTTGAAAAAATACTGTTGATTTCCCTCTGCTGCCTAGAAATTAAGCTGGAGCATTCTTTGGATATGTGAGTCTTACATAGCCCCTCATACCAAGCTTATAAAATACATTAAAATTGAAAGCTAGCTTCAAAGATAGTAGTAAAGAGGTTTTTTTTTTTTTAAGGACTCTTTTTTTAAATTTTCTTTTTCTTCCTTGTAGTATTTTGATCTACCTACTAAATATTATGTTTTATCCTAATCTTGCTTTCATAATAGATTAAGAACAACTACTGGAAGGGCCAAGTTAGAGAAAACATACATGCTCTTGTCCTAGTTTCCCTCAAATTGCATGTATTTTAAACAATCACAAATTTTTAATAGTGTAAATTAAAAAATATTCTTATCACTGTGATAGATAATGGTAATAGTCAATCTCTAGTGGAGGCTGCTTATGCCCTCTATTCAGAAGGAGTTGACTAAGGAGCAAGGAGAACTTCTTTCATACTTTAATGGTTCATAAAGTTGGAGCAAATATCTTGAACTGCAACAAAAACTTAACCAAATTTTGTTTGCTTTAAAGGAAGAGGTCTTTCCAAAGAGAAAATTAACAACTGATTGAGCCAGTCCTGCTAATTTGTTAATTTACTAGCTATATTTTAGAGTCCTATGTGATATTTAAAGCTATGTGATTACGTCTTGACGTTTATTTCAGATCAGACCCCAACACCAACAAGATTCTTGAAAAACTGTGAAGAAGTGGGTTTGTTTAATGAGTTGGCAAGTCCATTTGAGAATGAATTCAAGAAAGCCTCAGAAGACGACATTAAAAAAGTATGTTGTTAACCATAAAACAAACAAATGTAAATCAATAAAAAAGAGAGTACATCTGACAGAGCAGTAATGATTGTTTGACCTTCTTGCTTTCTTATGTTAGCATATACTGATTGGTTATTTTTGAACTTCTAACATTTTCTTAATGTTTCCATTTTAGATGCCTCTAGATTTATCCCCTCTTGCAACACCCATCATAAGAAGCAAAATCGAGGAGCCCTCTGTTGTGGAAACAACTCACCAGGATAGTCCTTTACCTCACCCAGAGTCCACTACCAGTGATGAAAAGGTTAGAAATTCATATATACATATGATAAATACAAAGTAAGGGAAAAAAGTTGGTATCTCGAGTAAAGTTTAATATTTAGTCTACAATTAAATGTTAATTTAATAAATTATATGTAATTCAGTGTCATCTTGTAAATAGTTTTATATGTAAAAGTTAGCCTGTCAGTATTCATAGAAATTTCAGGGAAAGAAGACTCTACCTTTATAATTAGCTTTTTATTATGCACAGAAAAATTATAGGGGAGAACATCAGTCATGTTAGATAGAACTGTTATTTCAAAAAGGATATCCCTATGGAGCAGTTTTACTCTGAGTTGGAATCTACTTCACAGCGACAAATTTGGTGTGGGTTTTGGTATATAAATTTAATGTAGTTTTTCTGGACTTTGTTATTTTATTTTTAGCTACTTACACGCAGCAAATGCTTAATTAAGAAACTAAAAATTGTTTGAACAAAGATTACTTAGGTTTTTAAAGGGTTAAGGAAATAATTACTTACTCTCAGTAGTGGATCTTTGGTACCAGCAACTAAGAAGATGTTACTATCTCAGTACAGGCCTTTTATAGGTAGTTTAGGCCATTCCTGGGTCTTGAATACCTTGATAACCTGAGACTACCTAGGCTATAGTTGTGTAATGAGTAACCATTCATTACATGTATTAAAACTTTGCAGCCTACCTGATCTAAAAGGGAAGGTGAGAAAGAGGACCAAGATAACTTTTGGAAGGGAAGAAAACTACATCTTGGAATACATTCTCTGCCATGTAGTAACAAAAGCTTTTAATACAAAATTGTATTGTTTGAATTTGTATTTGGTAAAAAATATTACCATATTAAACAGAAATGTTTATAAAACACAAATTTGTTAGTGGAAGTAGATCCCTGTTAGTTTTCTGAGTTGTCCACATTTTTATGATTATACTATGTAAGAAATAAGCATTTTCTCATTTTTATTTGTATAAAAATAAAAAGCTAATGCTGCAAAAGATAACGTATTGCTTATAACTGAATACAGAAACCTTGGCAGACACATGGTAAAATTTCAAATTAACGTATTTCAAAATAAAACCGCATATTTCTTTTGCAATAAAAAAACAACAAAAGTTTTTAATTAAAAAAGAAGAAAACGTGCGGATGCTTCATTTTTTCATTCATAAGCACAGGGAGTGAACACATTTATTTGGGAACACCATATGGGACACAATGAAGAGACACAATGAGGCACATGAAGAGGCGTTGGCAATGTTTGTTTTTATATGATGTTATTCTGAAGCCATAACCTCATTAATGGACTTCCTCCATGGCAGAGGAGCTTTAAGTAAGGCAAAAAAAAGTAACTTTTTATCTAGAAATAAATGCTTTGGCTATTTTCTTTTTCTAATTATTAAAAAAACTCATAAAAAATGTTAAGAATTTTAAAAGATATAAAGAAAAGCAAAATTACCTGTAAGCCTATGATCACAAGAATTAATATTTTAAATATTTTTTCAAGATATATACTTTGCATTTATACATACAAATATAAATGAGTAGTTACGTGAAGGATAAATGGATACAAAGAAAGATTTTGAATCACTCCTAGTTTTCTTTTATATCGTGCATTAGGCAGCATTAATGAACATTTTCCCATGTCATTAGAAATTTTCCAAAATCATAATTTTTAATGGTTGTATCGTTATCTTAATGTGTTTAATGATTTGTGTTCTTGTTGGACGTAAAGGTTGTTTCTACATTATCACAGTTATTAGAAATGCTGTTATATCTTTGATATAAATATCTTTTTTTCCTAGGAAGCATTCCAGCTCCTTCACACTCATTAGTTTTTCATTGTTGCTACTTCAGCCTCTTTTAGGAATCTTTTCTTCCTTCATTCCTCAGTCATTAGCTTCACTTGGGCAGGGTATAGTCATGCCAACTTGTTAAAAAATATGTTCTGGGCCCCACTTCTCTTCTTTCTCTGTTCTCTTCCTAGGTGAGCTCATCCAGACCCATAACATTAAACACCATTTACATCCTAGCCAATACACCTTATGCACAGTCACCACCTGTCTGTCAGTGGTGGCTTGAGTGTTGCTATGATGTTGAACTGGTTTCAGCAGAGCTTCTAGATTAAGACAGAGTTGGAAGAAAGGCCTGGAGATTTACTTCTGAAAATCAGCCAGTGAAAACCTTATGGATCACAGCAGTCCAGTCTGCAGCCTATCATGGGAATGGCTCAGAAGCAGGCAGCTTTTCTTGCCATTGTGCATGGAATTGCCATAAGTCAGGGGGTCTGCCTCACGGCAGCTAACAACAACAACGTGCTGATGATTCCCACATTTGTATCAGGCCAGATCTCTCTCCAGATTGCCATATTCTTATTGAACTTCATCTTGACATGTCCTTCTCTATGTCTAATAGAAATCTTAAACTTGGTATGCTTAAATCAGAGTCCTGATCCCTTCCTCAGTTTTCCCTCTCTCAGTAAATTTTCTCTCCATCCATCTAGTTCATTAATTCCTTCTTTTCCTTCACATTGAAACCAACAGGAGATTTTATCAGTCCTCCTTCCAGAATGTATCTGGAATCTGTCCTCTTCTGTCTGTCTTCGATTTTATCACTTTAGTCCAAGCCATCATCGTTTTTTACTTGCACTACTCTGCTTCCGTCACCAGTCTATTTTCCGTAGGTTGTTTTTGTTTTGTTTTGCATTTTTAATATGTTAAGTCATGTCATTCCTCTGCTTAAAATCCTTCAGTGATTTGCCATTGTATTTTAAGATAATTCAAACTCCTTACCATAAGCTCTCTTTGATCTATCTTTATCTACCCATCTAACCTCATCTCATGCTACTTCCTGTTGTGTTCATCAAATATTCCAAGCTTTTTCTTCCTCAAAAACATTGCACTTGGTATTGCTACCTTTTCCCTAGAATGTGCTCCTCATCCTTTCAGTATTAGTACAAATGCTCTTTTGCAAAGAAGCTCACCTCACCTTACTATGCTATTGAAAGTAGCCAACTCTACCCTTAGTTAATCGTTCACTGTATTGATTACACTTATTACTTCATAATATTTATTACAATCTGAAATTTTCTTGTTTGTTTGACTTGTTTATTGTCTGTCTCTTCCCACTAGTCCCTAAGTGCATATCATAAATTCTCAAACTTGTTGAATAAATGAAGTTCCAGGGGTACGAGTTTATCTTTTTTCCTATGTAGCTTAATAAGATTTTGATAATAAGTGACAGCAGCATACAGGCCAATTCAAAGAACACAGGACACCCAGTCTGACACTAACTAGTTAAGGAATAGTGGGTAAAGCCCTTAATCTCTTTGTTTCCTAATGTATAACTTAGGTGAAAGACCACCTCTAAAGTCTTGGCTGACTCACAAATTTTGTTTTCCTTTAATTGGGAAAGGGCCCACTTTAGTAATTATTGTTTATTTTACATTTAAGATAGCAGTTTTACTTGGCCTTTGATATTAAGAAATTCTTGATATAGGAGGCATAGCTACCTTAGATTAACAAACCTTTGTATTGTTTTAAGAAATTTCTAAGCATTTCTGTTATTGAATTTGTATCAACCGTAACACAGTGTCCCTGGACCTGTTTACTCTTCTTTACAGTATAATGAGGGAGTAGAACTGGGCAATCTCTTAGGTTCCTTCTGGATTTTAAGTGAATTGTATTTTTAATTTTTATTAAAATTCTCATGAAATCATAGCAAAGTTGCTTAGCCTAACTTATTTCTGGATTGATAGGAAAGCAGGTTGTACTGAAAAAAACCACTGAGATTTTTAAAAATTAAAATATTAATTGAACATTGCATCTGAGCCTTTACAGCTACTTCTAAGATTTTCTTTTAATTAATTTTAGATATATTAATTTACTTTGGGGGGATATTAAGTATCATCTTGTGGATGCTTTTAAAAGTGTGTTACTTTCTGTTCACTAAGGTACATGAATTGACTTGTATTTCTAAATTCCGCCCTTTCTCTATCCCATTATTAAATAGGAAGTACCATTGGCACAAACTGCACAGCCCACATCAGCTATTGTTCGTCCAGCATCATTACAGGTTCCCAATGTGCTGCTTACAAGTTCTGACTCAAGTGTAATTATTCAGCAGGCAGTACCCTCACCAACCTCAAGTACTGTAATCACACAGGCACCATCCTCCAACAGGCCAATTGTGTAAGTGATATGGGCCAATCATTGAACCATTCTCTTATGAATTGCTCCTTTTTTTTCCTGTCATGATTCTTCCTAAGGCATTTAATCATTCAAATTGTGGCCTTAGGATTTTGTGTGTGTGTGTGCATGTGCGTGTTTTAGTCATATTCTTCATGCTCAATTCTTGGAAAAAGTACTTGGATTATTTTCTAGTGTATATATTATCAAGTAGATTGAAAAATAAACATCTAAAACTTGGTTTAAAAAACAAATCATCATAGAATGTGAATTGAAGTTGGTCTCTTATTTTTATGTTTCATACAAAATATATAACATTACTCCATCACCAGAGGACATTTCTTTCAGGTCTCACAGGTAGATCTCAAGAGCTTTCTGATACGAATTTTTTTCATTTTACAAGTTGGAGGTTGTCCTAAGTGATATAACTTATTCCTTTTTTTTTTTCTAATTTTTACACTGACACATAGATTATGCATTTAAGATGCAATTAAAAATAATTAAATGTTGCAGTTTCTTTCTAGTTAGAAAATTTATTTTTAAATGATGTGATAATAGGAGTGAAAAAAAATACTGTTGTGTTTTCAGGAGATGTTTTGATATGGGTTTCTTTAGTTTCCTTTCTTCTGTTTCTCTTAGCCCTGTACCAGGCCCATTTCCTCTTCTGTTACATCTTCCTAATGGACAGACCATGCCTGTTGCTATTCCTGCATCAATTACAAGTTCTAATGTGCATGTTCCTGCCACAGTTCCAGTAAGTTTGAAACTCAGACTATTTAAACCTTTTCTTTTTAGCAAAATTTATCTTTGTTAATTAATCAGAAAATATATTTGGGGCTACTTGATTTGCTTATGAAATTGAATTCAACAAAGTGGTTATTAGTGGTGAGTAGTATTCCTCATTGATATATATGGTGACAGCATATACCATTTAAGAGAAGCATAATTGGATAGAAAACATTTTTCCGTCCTCTAAGGATCTTAATTATTTTCTTTAAATTTTTAATACTAAGAACTTTATTTGTATTTAACCCATTTTTAATTTGACTATATTTGTAGCATTCAAGTGTTAACACAGATTTCTAAATTTAAAAAAAAAAGATGTTTAAACTAGAACACTTGTCAGGTAACTCCATGTTATCTCAATTACTATACAAATCATTTCTAAAAACACACTCTGAAGTTTTATGGTCATATCAGGGATACAGAATTCCTGTGATAGCCCAAACATGTTAAAATCTAAACAGTCTAAAATATTAGACAGTATCCCACTTTCCCAGTGAGAAGATCCAGATGGTAAGTTTTTTGAGGAACATGTTAAACATAATTAAATTTTTGAAAGACATACAAAATAGTTAAACATCTACTTAAAATATCTTTAGTGAACATTTAAAAGCATATTCTTTGGAATAATATAATTCAGAAATGATTTTTTTTCCTACTCATTTCATAAAACAGTTTTATTTGGACTTTTCAAAAGTGTCTTCAGCAGAGAGGGTCAGGAGCTGGTTGAATGGACATGGGGAATCGGGTGGAAAAGAGGAGTGTGCTGTCACAGTACCGGGAAAGCAATTAGGGTCACATAACAATGTATGTATAAATTTTTGTATGGGAGACTAACCTGAAATGTAAACTTCATTTAAACTACAACAATAAACAAACAAAAATCCATATTTAAAAAAAATAGTAAAAAATAAAACAAATGTGTCTTCAACATCCAAGTTTTCATCATTAGAACCACTTTATGAAACACCTAGCACAGTTTTCCAGCGCTTATTTTCCTTTCTATCTAAATTATTTAAGCTATAGTGCTTTGTTTTGTTTTATTTTTAAGATATAAATCTTTTTGATTCTATTATACTCTTCCTGGATATCTTACCTCAAGTACTAGATATTCATATAATAATGAGATAGCTTCTTCTTTTACTTTGTAGCTAGATATTGGTGATCAGTACAATATAGCCATTTATTGTATAGCTTTTAAAAAATATTTTAAAAGCTCTATAATAACATCCAACACTTTGGGTTTAGCATATGCTGTCAAGAATATTACTAAAATTAATGTTAAATTTTTACTTCTTTTCTTTTTATTGACTAATTCTTCCAAATGACCTAAGTATCTAAAATTAACATTGAGGTAATTTCAAGGTAATGTATCTTCTTCAAGCAGAACTTTGTTGTTCAGAATGCATTGTTTGAGAGACTTTGTATGGACTCAAATATAAGATCATTACTTCTTCTTTCCTGAGAATATTTTTTGAGGGGGGAAATATTCTTACCCTGTATTTGAGATTATATGGGCATCCTCTTAAATGTAGCCATCATTTTCAACTTGAAATAAAAGAAGAGGTATGTGTACTTTAGTTATAATCATTAATCACTCAGCATTGATTAGGTTTTTAACAAAAAGACTAAAACCAAAGTGGAAAAATCTGTTGCAGATTGTTGTTATTAGAGAAATCATTAGAGGTTATCGGCATCTTTCTTTGTCATTATGTAGTGTATTAGCACATCAAAGAACTTTTACTTACATATTTTAGAAATTGTAATAGCAAAGTTTATTGTTTGAAGTCGTTTTTTATGCCTAGTTGTCACAAGCTTTGACGTTCCTTCCTTTCAAATTCAAAATGTGTGACGTATTTGTGAGATATTTTACATTAATCACTTTGAATATTATGAGTTTTTATAAGAATAAACCATGAATAAAGAAATTGTGAAAGTTAAAGATTAGGGGAGCAGGTATCAGAAAAATCCATGACTTTGGAGGAAATAATCAGGATATAAGATGAATAAGGATTGTGTAGAGATGTAATCAACTGTAGACAAATTTATAATTTTCTAATTCTGAAGCCTCAAGTAGATTATTATAATAACCATTGTACAAATAAAATACAGTTTTCATTTTGAATATCATCTCTAGCAATTATTTTTCAATATATTTTGCACAGCTTGTTCGACCAGTCACCATGGTGCCTAGTGTTCCAGGAATCCCAGGTCCTTCCTCCCCTCAACCAGTTCAGTCAGAAGCGAAAATGGTAAACAAGATTTTACTTGTTTTTAACTTTCCTGAACCTGTTTTGAATTAGTGTTTTCCATTAAAGCCTGCTTGAAATGTCAATACAGATCACATTTTATGAAATTATGAACTGTATTACACTTTTGAAGGACCAGAAAATTCGGAAAAAGAAAGCTTTCATTATCATAGTGACTTTGGTATTAAAATAAATGGGTGGATTGGGAATAAAATTCTAGTTCTTGTCACGAGTGGTTTGTGTTTTGGCTGTGACTTTTTAACGAACTCTTTCCCCTCCTGCTGGAGGCTAGGAGTATTACAGCTAAAACTAGACAATTCTGTAATAATCTAAGTTAGTAAATGTTGCATAAGATATACAAAGGAAGAGCCATGTTTTTGTGTTGTGCTTCAGGTACTTGAGAAATTAGTGTTGTTTAAAGGGATGAGCTATAGATTAGGAGTGAGGAGATAAGTATTTTAATTTTAATTTTAGCTATGTCATTCACTACCCTTAATCAAACCACATTAACTTTTCTGAGACTCAGTTTTTTCATCTGTAAAATAAAGGGGTTATTAAGCTTTGATTTCTGGGTTCTCTCCTAGGCCCAAATCCTATAAACTTGCAGATTTTCTTGGTTGAAAACCTGAAGCTTTTTTCCTTTTTTAAAAAACCATTGTAATTCTCACTTCTACTTTTTACTGTACTTTGAGGCTAATTCTTCTTACCATTAATCAATTAATAGGTCCTTAGGAATTCAGTAGGTAATGAGTTATTAAACAAACAAAAAAAAAAGGCAGCTGCTGTTGGGTCAATTCTCACTCATGGTGACCCCACGTGTTTTAGAGTAGAAGTGTGCTATGTAGTGTTTTCAGTGGCTGTGATCTTTTAGAAGTAGATCACTAGTAGATCACCTTTTGGTTAGTAACTGAGTGCTTAACCATTTGCACCACTCTGGGACTCCAAATAGTTATTTGACACCTATTATTAGCTTCAATTCTGTCGTAGGCATTATATTAACAATACATATTCATAGACGTAAAAACTATTATGTATTGCAAGGTTTTGAATTTTTTTACTGCTATTATCCAGTAGTGCGAATAATACAATCTGAAATATATACATGATAACCATTTTTAACAATAAAACTTAACATCTGAATAAAAAGCAATTGTCTGAGAAGCATAAAAATGAGCTGGTTATGGATTGTGGTGAGAGAACAATCTGAAAACACAAGGGGTAAATTTTTCACGTAACAGCATGGTTAGGTCAGAGCTTTGGAAGTACTAAGATGAGTCTTCATTTAGTAGCAAAAGAGCTTCAGTGGGAATGTTTTTTACACTTGCTATTTTAAATATGGTTGGTAAAATAGAAAGTTACCGAAAACAAGAGAAACCCTTAATGGGATGGATTAATAACGAGATATATTGACACAGTAGATGAAAGAATGGGCTCAAACATACCACCGATCATGGAAATGATGCAGGACCGGGCAAGCTTTCATTCTGTTTTACATAAGGTCATTGTGAATCAGAGCTGACTCAATGGCAACTAACTACAATGTTTTAAATACATTGTACTAATGAAAAATTCAATTTCATTTGCCATGCAGTGAGAACCGAGTAGAGCAGAAATAAGAGTAAAGGATCGTATTTTTGTGCACCCATTAAAAACCCATTGCTGTCAAGTCGATTCTGACTCATAGCAACCCTATGGGACAGAGTTGAACTGCCCCATAGGGTTTCCAGGGAGCACCTGATTGATTCGAACTCTTGACCCTTGGGTTAGCCGCCAAGCTCTTAACCATTATGCCACCAGGTCTCCTTTTTGTGCATTGGATCTCAAAATATTTTTACATATTCATTGGACTTGTTTCCTACTAATTAATTCAAGAAGACTGAATCAGATTTAAAGAATACTTTCGGCTACAAGAGTAGTCCATATTCTAGAAACTTAGCTAACATTTCTTGGAATAACTTTTTCTTTTAGATCACTAAGAAATTTGCAAGAATACAAGTGTTTGCATGTTTGTATATTAAAAAATATCAAAGCTACAGCCTTCACAATTTTATCTCTGAAAAGCAATCTTTGAAGACCAAAAAATAGCATGGAAGTCACAGATTGTCTCACTTAAATTTAACAATCCAAATTAATTTCTTATTAGAACTTTGCTAATGTAAAATAGCCATGTTTAGGTGATGCCTGTTTTAATTGGGATAGTAAATAAGGTTGTCCTTTTTGGGAGTAAGTAAAAAGACTCTGCAATTGATCTTTTTTAAACAAAAATTTTATTATGAAAAATTTCAAATATATACAAAATAGAATAGTATAACAAAGCCCCATATGCCCATCACCCAGCTTCAGTTATTAGCAATATACTGCCATTCTTGTTTTATCTGTACCTCAGGCCACTCCCTACCCACACTCAATTATTTTTATAGGATCTTTTTATTTTTTTGTAAAATTTATATGCATTAAAATGAACCAGTTTTAACTGTAGTTTTGATAAATAAGTACACTGATGTAACCCACACTCCTACTATGATACAGAACATTAACGTTTCCCTGGAAAGTTTCCTTATGTCCCTTCCTGATCAGCTCCCCTCCCCGAACTATTCTGATATTTGCCATCGTATCTTGAGAACTTCATATAAGTGGAATAAGTTAGTATACACTCTTTGGGTCTCACTTAGCAAATGTCTGAGATTTATTCATGCTGCTGAGTGTATTGTAGTTTGTTTCTCTTTGTTGCTCAGTGTTTGTTTCTATTTACTATATGAATATACCCCAATTTCTTTATCTAGTCTCCTGTTGATGGACACTTGATTGGTTTCCAGTGTTAAGCTATTGTGAATAAATCTACTACACACATTTCTTGTGTAACTCTTTTTGTGGATGTATATTTTTCATTTCCTTGGGTAAATAAGAGTAGAATTGCTGAGTTAAAAGGTAGATACATATTTAACCTTATAAGAAAGCTACACCTTTCCCAGAGGTTTATATTCCCACTTGCAGGAATTCCAGTTGTTCTGCATTCTTGTAAACATCTGATTTTGTTAGCCTTTTTAATGGTGCCCTCGTGGTGCAGTGGTTAAGAGCTCAGCTGCTAACCAAAAGGTCAGCAGTTTGAACCCACCAGTCGCTCCTTGGAAACCCTGTAGGGTAGTTCTGTTCTGTCCTGTAGAGTTGCTATGAGTTGGAATTGACTCAATGGCAATGAGTTTGGTTTTTGGTTTGGTCTTTTTAATTGTAGACATTCTAGGGGTGTGTAGCAGTATCTCATGATTTT